CTTCCAAGGACAAGAGACTCTAGGGAAGAAGAAGTGGAACAATGCTTGGAGCAACCCTTGTGAATCCCCTCATAAGCTCCCCTTCACAAGATTCTCTCTCTCTCTCCCTCTCGTTTAGGTTTTCTAAGGTCAAGACAACAGCCAAGGATTTTCAAAAATGTTGAACAAGAGCTCTTAAATAGAAGAGCTTTCAAAGGAGCTCATTAATTGCAAATTGCCGACTATATCGTCTAGAACGATATGGAAATAGTCCTGGCCGATCAGTACAAATCCCATGAGATCGGCCAGGGCATCGCCCTGAATGCAAACTGGACGATTGAAAACTGGATTGGTCATCCAGGCCGATCAGTTCAAATCAAAGGAAAATCGTCCAGAGCATCGCCCTGAATTTGTGCTGGCCGATTTTGATTGTCTAGAAGAAACTAAGGTTTTTGAATAGATCGTCCTGGCCAATCCTGCAATCGTCCAGGACGATGTGATCGTATCAATTATCCTTAATTACTTCCTTGATTTGTCTGATTAATTAAGGCATAATTGTGAATATCGTCCAGGCCGATCCAAGATCGTCCTGGCCGATTGCCAAAAATACAGAATACCTTAATTGTTTATGGAGGCAATATCTTTCTTTTTTGAGCATATTGTCCAGGATGATTGGCTAATGACGGCTGTCTTAATTAAGAACCCCTGATTAGAACTTCTGTTTTGAGCCCGATCGTCCAGGACGATGTAAATATCATCTTGGTCGATTTGATTAAAAACAGAAATTCTAACTTTCTCAAGTGTGTGTGTGTGTGTAGGGTTACTTAGCATCAGTCTCTTTGAACATTACAAATTGACTCAAGAAGAGAAAAAGCAAAATACAGACTGACTCAACCCTAATCTACGCAATATTGAACTAGCTTGATTTGTCATCTGATTTCTTGGCCCTGAAATGTCAGTTATAAGAAAGGAAATCATACTGTTTGCTAATCATCAAAAGTGTAATTCATGAAACAACAGATTTGCAACATCATTTATGTACTTATAACACACATTAGGATTCATGCGGGTTATGATTGCACTTGCCCCTTATGTACCTTTATGTACCTATATATATACAAACTATGGTGCATCTGTTGGGGTATTTTTGTATTCATTTGTGAACATTGTGTTGTACCTATGATGAGCTTTTGTAGTAGTTCATAAGAACTTGCATCGACAGCCTATTCTCCACATTCACTTGTAGGAGAGTAATGTGCTTGTTTGGATGATAGATACATACATCATAATCAATTATTGATGTCTTCATATGGTTTGCAATTTTTGTTTATCTTCACTTATGCTTAAACTATGAGTGCTCATATTGATCATTGCCTGAAGATGCGTTAAATCCAATGCCACTAGTCCATTATCATGTCCCAAAGAGCTCATGCCATGGCTTTGTGATCAAACATATCCTTCACAATCTTCCTATTTCTTGCAAACAAGTTATACTTGTAAATTATTTGCCCTTATATATGATATGTAATGAACTTGATATCCCCATTCATTAACATCTTCATCTTAATTGAAATGACCCTTACAAGTTAATTGTCATTGTTCAAAAAAAGTCATGGCAAAATTTGGAATGAATGTATGCATGGATCCTTGCACATTTTCATGAGATTTGAATGAATGGTATTCTTTAGTTAGCATTTCCATCCAAATGGAATAATAACTCTAATATATTTCATTGATGTTATTGAGTAAATGATATTTTACAAATCTTTTTCTCCTTAAATGTTCATTTGGATAATCAAGATCATTTATCATTTGTAGTTTTAGTGTAGTTATGCATTTATTACTTAGAAGTCCAATTGATTTGCATTTTAATTTACACTGTGCATTCTCCAATTCAATGTCTGGTTCCCTGCTGTTCAAAGTTGATCCAAGTTCTTTGTTGTTAAAGCTATGTTGATGCCCACTATGCTTGATTCAAATCAAGTCCAAGTTCACAAGTCCTTGCATGTTCTTATAGTCAGTTCATATCAAGCTAAAGTCCAAATTTGTAAATCCTTTGATGTTCACAATTTTGCAAGTTCAATTTCAAGTTCTCTGTTAGTCAAGCTCAATTCCAAATCAAAGTCTCATGTGATCTTTTAAGACCAAATCATATTCGAGTCAAAGTCCAATTCGTTTTTTTTTTTGCTGCAAGTCCATGTTCATATTAAATTTTATTTAACTTAGGTTCAAGTATTTTTATAAATCATTTTATGACCAAATGCAAGTCCAAATCAAGTCTTGTGTTCATCCGAAATTTCGGCAACCTCCCAGCGTCTTCCCCGTTTAGGGGAAAACTATAGGTGTCTGGGCATTCCCACCACGCGCAATAAAAGCGTGCATGATAGGTGGCCATAGACACTGTGGCCGTGGTTTTCATTCCCACCATGTGCAATAAATTGTGTATGGGGTCTTCGAATGTACATGACTTAAAATATAATTGGCTTTTCCTTTGCTCGAGGGTACTTATAAATGACCCCGACTCACCGCAAGTGTTGCACCGGGTTCCCATCCCAACACGTTCAATAAAGGCATCTATAGGTGATTTTTCGGTGAGCCACAAATGTCGAAATGAGGCTTTAGGTGATTACTTGCCTCGTCGTAGGCGTCGCACCGGGATCCCATCCCACCACGTGCAATAAAGGCATGTATATGCAATTTTTTGGTGCGCCACAAACTTCGAGGGCGAGAATTTAAGTTTTACAGAATTCATACCTTCGTGGGATTCGATGGTTTTTGCACGCATATCGAGACAAGCATAATTAATTAAGATTAATAATAATTAATTATAATTAACCTCAATTAATTATAATAAATTAAGATTAATATTAATTAATTTTAATTAGAGATAACTAATTTATAATTAACTTAAATTAATTAACATTTAAAAAATTAATTATAATTAGCCTTAATTAATTATAATTAATTCTATTTAATATATAATTAATTGCATTCAATCTAAAATTAATTATAAATTAATTAAACCTGATGCATAATAAATGAGGAAAATGATGTCATACTAATAATGAAACTTAAAGAGATGATATTATTCAAATTTCCTTATGTAAGGTTCGGGTCTGGATGGTCATGGCCAAAATCTGCCAAAGGTACTCCATTTGAAATGCAATTGTGAAGTCAACAAATTATTTTAGAAGCAAGACCACCATGAACAAACCACTTATCAGAATGGAGTGAAAGCTTAAGCATCAAACCAAAATTGCGCCAAGCCAATCAACAAATATAGGTTTGGCATATGCACCAGTCAATGTATGCATAGCATCGAATACCAATTTGAAGAGCTATGACATATAGTTTCGAACTTCTACAGCTTCGACGTCCGAAAATAGGGGGACAACTGATATATCATCTTAAAATTATGTCGATCGGGCACAAATCTCGAAGCAAAATAAAGATTGGAAACTTAAAAAATTAAATTAGAGACTATCGTAACTCCGAGTTCAGCAAACTTATAGTCAATCTGAACGTCTCAGAAATACGAACTCAACAACACCAAATTCGACCCAATCCGAGCTCAAATTGGTCCAAATCGAAGGCCAGAAGCACATTTGGAAGGTTCAAACCATAATTTTGATTATCAAACATATTCCAAACAAGACATGCTTATAGTCGAATCGAGCGGCTCGACGAGACGAATCCAAGGAGCCCAAGATTGCCAAATTCAGATATCATTAAGACATTCAAATGCCCAATAAACTTTCTATGATCAAAGGATTCAATATCGGTAGTCCATTCAAACCACTCATAATTTACCCTTGATCTTCCTGCTATTTACTGGTCATCCCACTCTCAAAAAATTATAAATAGATCCCTCATTTCTCATAGAGAGGGACCCCAAAGGGGGGGGGGGGGGGGGGGGAAGAAGGGAGCCCAAACAAGAAGCAAGAAACAAGAAGCAAGAAGCAAAGAGCAAGAATAGAAGAGAAGAGAAGGAAACAGAGAAGGAAGAAAGGAAGAGAATGAAGATGCTCCTCCTCGACCATCGTCGAAGTTCTACACGAATACCATCTGACACCAAAGTTCTATCCGGCCGCCGACTAACTTCAGACTCCTACCCAATGTCGGACCTCCGCTCGTCACCAGATTTCTACCCAACGTCGGACCTCCGCTCGTCGCCATATTTATATCCAACATCGAACTGCTACCTGACACCAGACTTCTGTCTGTTGCCAGACTTTCGTCGGACTTCTATCTAACGTTGGACTTCTGTCCATCGATGATCTTTATGACCTCCATCACCCGCCGAATACGATCCTTCCGACATACGTCGCCCATCGACCACGGTCCTTCCGACCAAACGAACACGTCAATAGTGATTTTGTGCATTCCCACCATGCATTGTATTCCATATGATGTATATTTGTTATATCAAGCCAAGGCCTTCCTCCCAATGAAGGACCTCATTTGTAATCAACTGCAAATACTAGTCGATTCATTCGAACTGGGCTAGCCCCCGTGGTTTTTCATCCTTTCCAGGAATTTTTCACGTAAAAATTTTGATCTCTTATTAATGATGCATAATCTCTCTCTTATCTGATTGCGTTTTGAATCTTTATACAAAGCTAAGATATTAAACTTTATATTTCTCTCCCACCGCGAATACTCCAAGATGCAACAATAATAATAATAATAAATACTTGTATCAATATTAAATAAGATAACATTAATAATACTGTTTTTCTTTTTTTTCTAATTTAATATTTTTAAGTTCGGGTACAGTTTGGCAAATTTATGGTTGTTTTCACCATATGTTGCAAGCCAGAATAATTTAATAACAAGAAAATGCATATATTAGAAAAAATAATAAAATTAAAATTTTTTAAAATGCAAGCAATTACTCCAATTTGAAAGTTGTGTGGGTAAAACAAATAAATAAATTATGGTGCAGAGTAAAAGTTTTTTGCAAAATGAACAAAATTGTTTAGCTCATAATTATTTTGAAATTGGGTTACCAAAAAAATAAATTACAAAATAGAACAATATCAATTTTATTCAATTTGCATGTAAATTAAGATTTCACCTAACAAAAATATCATTTATAATTGATTTCACTCCCACATCTATGTATCGTGGAGATCAGCAGGCTTATAAATACGTGCTTCTGGTAGACATTATCAAACCAAGTAGAGCATTTTCAGTAACCCAACTGCTTATAAAGATTTTTTCATACAGAACACTTGGCAGACATGGCAATGAAGAAAGTAATAAGAAGTCACCCTAGTCAAATACCCCCTTTACACCTTCCAGACTCTCTCCTAATGATTCCCTGCAACAGACGAAAAAAAAAATAGTTACCATGATTTCATTGAGCCATGACCGATGTTACTTGCAGTATTTTACATCGGGTGTCTATTTTAAATGCGTTGCGCTTCAATATGTAAATATGCAATCATCTATTATAATAATAAAACAATAAGCCTTGCCACATAGATTGATTTTAGTTAGACATAGATATGATTATAATCTTTTTGAAATGAATTTTCAGTTTAATTCTCTAGTTAACACGCATCACAAATTACGTAAGGATATACAAGCAAGTTATCATTAGAAAATAGGTTCTAAATCTAAATCGTAAGCATATCAGCATACTGATTGTAATAAGCACACTGATCCCATAAAGATTAATGTGTTTTCTACCACAAAGGAAATCTTACAACAAAAATCAGGAGATGAAAAATAACTGAAATTTTCAAAAATAAAAAATAAAAAACTACAATAATCAATCAAATTTAAAACTAAAATTCATTAGGATAAAATACTTCTAAAAATCAAACCTTAGACTAATCTTTAAAATCAATCAACAAACTTGATTAATAAACTGCTTAATTAACTTTTCTTTTTTTTATAATTTATAACCAACTAAATAATTCAACAAAATTGGTTGTTGGGTAACTCAAGCCTACGAGACTATTAAGTTAGCCCCAAGGAGGGTGAAATAAACTCACGGCCTCGGTGATAAACAAAGGTGGTAATCAATTAAATATTAAAATAAAATTTTTTAAATAAATCTTATAATACTAATATTTAAACTTCAATTAAAATCTCACTTTTGTCCTTTAACAAATCAAATACAAGCAACTTTAACTAAATTATCCTACATATGACATATCTAAAACTAAAACGGCCTACTACACATTTAGACTTGTTTGCTAGAACATGACTTCTAGTTCTAGGTTAGGCCAGTGTTTTTTTTTCTTTTATTTCTGTCTCTGTGATGTGGCGCTTTGCATGTGACCCGTGTGCTGTTTGTTTTATTACTTGCTTTAGCTTTCTGTGATACTTTTTCTGTGATGGTTACTTGTTCTTTTTCTGTACTGTGTTGTGAGCAATAGAATACTCATAGGTTATGAATGCTTTTTATATTAATGATGTTTTCTTGCAGGTGGTCGAGCACTCGTGCTCACACAGCGCTAAAGGGGGCTAAAATTTCATAAAATTGTAAAACTTCTTTAGGTGCTTCAGCTACTTAGCCCTCAAATAATAAGAGCATGGTCAAGTGTGATTATTTTAAGCATTTTCATTTTCATATATACAACTGCTTAGATGTTTTGATTATTACTGCTTAGGATAACCCTACAGGAGAGTCTAGATTTTAATTTTTTTTATGTAATGTATTTGGTGTCAATTGTTGTGAAAATCTAAAATAAGGCATTTTTAAATGTAAAGGGGTCCAAGGGAAAAGGAAACCTCTTATTGGGAATTTCTTTTTTCATTTGGACGTCATTTTGGAGGACACCCTACGAGAACCTGAAGGAAGGAAGAAACGATCCATAGACGAATCAAGGAAGTGAAGACGAAGACCGAGATAAAAATGCCTTGTTTTAAGATTTGTGTCATTCCTTAGGATTAGAAACCGGGTTGTTGTCGGTGAAGCCCGGCCACCACTACTTTTCTGTACTCTGTGATATATATTATATGGCACTTGCCATGAACTTTTGATACTTTTCTGTGATTTGTTGAGATGCTTGTTTACTTTGTTTGTGCAGTAGAACTGACATATTTTGTATAGGTTTCTTTCTTCCATGTGCATGTACCTGACGCGCTAGGCTTTTAGGGTTAAAATTCTTCTACTCGTAATTACTAATAAAATTTTAAGAATTAACTCACATAGAAACATAATGATATAGGGAATAGCAGGAATCGTCCGGGGTCGCATGCATCTTAATGCACTCTCTCTTCCTTGCTTATACACTTCCCCGCCTGCAGGTAGAGTCCGGATAATCTAGCCTATGAGGATGAAGTGCTGGACCTGGAGAAGCTTAGTCTTAAAAAAACTATTTTTATAAGCCTTTTTAAAACTTCAAGCATATCTGATTTGGATAATTTAATTAGCATATATTACATTAACAACTAACTAAAATTAAAACTTAATTGCATTAGTCTTAGAAGCATAACATCATTCATAAATGTGGGGTCACTTAGGAACTTCTCTAAATGTCAACCCCAAATTTCAAAAGTTTAACCACCCGCCCATCTTTCATATAGACCTGATATCATGGATTTTATGTGATTATGAGGTTTTAGCTGGCTTCCTTTTCAGGCAAGGTATAACTCCAGGCTACATTAGTTAGGTCGTTGATGTTAGTATCGTGTGTACGATACTACATCTTCTATAAATTTAGGGTCTAAGGCGAGTGGTATGAGTGCACCACTGCACGCCTTATCGGTGGGTAAGCTTTCTATTCTTTCAGAGGCTATAAATCCTACTCATTCGCGTCACACAAATGACGTCACCTCCCTCTTTCTCTCACGCATGCTTGAATGCAATTGTCTCTTCTTTTTCTTCAGTTTACTCTTCTTCAGACAGCCCGAGTGTTGATATGAACCACGTGTGTTGATTAAACTAAATTGGGCCTCTCTTTCCTTTGATTAGGAAAGCCTAGAAATTCCTTTGCGCTAAACCCATTTGAGAAGATAATATAACATCCTTAATCGAGAGTTTTTTTAGATCGAGATCTAAGATGTAATTAATTACGGGGGCTTGCGCCCGTAGGAAACCGATCCCCACATCAAACAAACCCCATTCGAGACTGATGTATCGAATGGGAAAAATCTTGTAAAATTTTGAGTTATATATATTATTATCAATCGAAGTGTGTAGGCGAAAGCAGCTATCTTTCATGGCTAATCGTATGTATGACTCCATCTGCTCTTATATTGGCCTGCTTATGATGAGTATAAAGGTCTACGATCGTTTTGTCCTACGAGATAGTGCAGTCGTATCATTTACATTCAAACCTCATAAGCAAAGTCCTTTCGGAGACCCACATTTCCCATCTTCAGCTGACCTACAATCCTCACCTCAACCATCACCCCATCTTTCTTCTCAATCCACTTTAGCTCCAACCTCACAAGTTCTACTTGTTTCCCGTAATCCAATGGTCACTCAATCTAAAACAAGACATCTAAAGCTCACCACCGTCTTTGATTTCGAGCATTCCGTTATTCAAATTAATCCAACTGCTTATTCTCAAGCTGTCAAAACCCAGTATGGTGTTAGGCTCTGAGTGTTGAATTTGAAGCCTTACAAAATTAAGGAACATGGATCCTTATTCTAGCTTCTCCGCATCATAATCTCTTAGGTAGTAAATGGCTATTTAAAACTAAATTAAACTCTGATGGTACCATTGCCAAATATAAAGCTCAGTTCGTAGCTCATGGTTTCAAACAAGAGCCTAGACTTGATTTTCATGACACCTTCGGTCTTGTAGCAAAATTCCCTACCATCCGCATTTTTCTTACAATTATAGTTACATATTATTGGAACATCCTTCAACTAGATGTTTCAAATGCCTTCTTACATGACCAACTGGACAAGAAGGTTTATATGAAACAGCCACCTGGATTTGTGGATTTATAATAACCAAATCATGTTTGTTTGCTTCGGAAGGCAATATATGGACTTAAACAGGCTCCAAAGCAGTGGTTTTCTACATTCTCCTCCTACTTAATTGACTATGGCTTTGTTGCAAACCCTATTGATCCTTCTCTACTATGATATCATCACCAAGGTTCTATTCAGCTCTACATACTTGTTTATGTAGAGACATTTTATTAACAGGCTCACATGATTTAGCTAATAAGGCTCTGCTTTCAGCTCTTCACTTACGATTCGATATGCGTAATCTTGGCCTCGTAAGCTACTTTCTTGGATGCAGGTCACCTATCAAACCTACGGGATTCACATTAGTCAATCCAAATATGCGTTGGATATTGTTCAACACGCTGGCATGACAAACTACAAAACAATTCAAACTTTGTTGCCTTCTAAGCATCCGCTTTTAACAACTGAATCAAATCTTAACCCACAGCTTGCATTTTATCGCACTATAATAGGCAGCTTGCAGTATCTCACTATCACTTGTCCAAACATTATATTTGTTGTCAACTATTTGTGTCAATACATGCGCAAACTAGAACATCATCACTTTTAGCTCCTCAAACGAGTAATTCGTTACATCAAAGGTACTCTACAATTCGGATTACTAATTTCCCAATCTTCACTTGTTCTTCAAGCTTATTCTGATTCTAATTGGGCTGCAAATTTTTTGGATCGTCGGTCAATCACCGAATATTGAGCCTTTCTTGGTGCCACTCTCGTCTCCTGATGTGTGAAGAAGCAAACTGTTGTTGCCTGATCCTCCACGGAGGTTGAATACTGGGCATTGGCTACCACCGCATGAGATATTATCTATCTGTCTTCGTTCACTACTACAGGATTTTCACATCAAGTCAGCTCCAACAAAACTCCTTTGTGACAATGTATTTGCTCTAGCATTAGCCAATAACCCAGTGTTTCATACTCGCATTAAGCATATAGAAATTGATTGTCACTTTATTAAATACTGCATCAAACAGCATCACAACTCTATTCATCACATTGCTAGTGAAGATCTAGGTACAGATCTATTTACTAAATCACTCAGCTACCTTCAGTTCAACCGGTTCCACACCAAGATGACAATTCAACCACCCATTGTCACCATGAGGGGGTCAGATAAGAGGAAATGATACGCATTCTCAGCTATAGATAAGTCGGCTCAATGATCCATGTGACCTGCTGCATCATCTCTATGCTACAGCAGCCGTCTGCTCTCTGTGTCGTTCGATCTCTGAGCATTTCATCTTCACCATTCATCTATAACTAACTGAGCTACAGGGATATAAGATTATAGTTGTATATATATACAGTATTACATTTTACAGTGGTTAAGGGATGAATTAATGAAAAGCTTGCTACATAATTTCTGCCCTGTTCTTCTATCT